ACTTGGATATTCCATTTCTTTGAGTATTTTATTTTAAGTTTTAGAAAATACCGAAGTTAAATAACTCAAGATGGAATTCCCGACCAATGCCAGCTTTTTTGCATCTATTCTTCTACCAGTGAGAAGAGACTCACCAGTGACATATCCAAAAAGTTTAGGCTTTCATATTTTAATCCCATCAAAACAAGCATTTTACATTTCAATCATTACATTGTAACTTATTCCATATTTCATACATGCAAATTTGAATTAAGCATTCTGAATGACTTAAAATACATTTATAAAAAATTGTTTGCAAAAATTGCTTTTTCTAAACGACGTTAATAACAGTTTTGTAATTATCATAACAAAATTTTTCATTACAAAGCAGCAAAAAAGAAGTAAGACATGGGTGCAAAAATGATGGAACTCCATTTTCAAAAATTGTTTAGGAGAAAGAAAAAACTAAATATTTTTGAAACTTCCATATTGCTCTGCAAGTTCTTTTACTTTGGACACTTCACTGGCTAAACTGCTGCATTGCACATAATTATTTTAGTAACTCATTACTTGTTTAGACAAGATTAAAAACTTTTCTTTGCATTTATTAATTATTTGAAATAAAGAGAAACAGTTATTAAATTTCAATCTCTTGGTTCATCTTTTTCTTTTGGTCTCAGCTCTTGGTTTACTGACACAACAGTAAATTTGTGACATCTGTTTCTAAGTAGAGTTACTCAATCTTCTGGTAAAAAAAAATTTTTCTTTTTCTTTTCCTTCTTAATTAAAACAAAACTTTGGTTGCAAGGTGAGAAACTGTATCTTAGTTCTGGATATTGATATATTATATTGTTAAATTTTCCAGTTTGAACTAAAGTGCATAGATAGCTAACAAGAGTTGATTTTCGTTCTGTGAACTACAGTTGTCTGAATACAGGTAGGGCTTTTTGACTGATGCAGCAAGAAAATTTTTAATAAAAAAAGCAGAAAACTCACAATTATTTTGTCCTATTTTGGCAACCATTTTATCATACATAAAGAAATAAGATTTTCCAGAACTGGCTGCAAACATGTAAATATTATACACCCAAAGCAGTCGTTTGAAAAAAACATTTTTTTTTTTTTTTAACATCTTCGCTTCCAACAAAGCTGCAAGCAACCACTAATTAGTGTTGGAAGTTACTGGAAGAGAAAAGATAAAGATTGAAGAGCAAGATAATGATTGACAGACAATTTAAAAGATTGCAAGTTATATGAATCAGGAAAGCAAGATGAAGGAAGCGAATTCCAAAGAACTGATGTTCGAGGAAAAAAACTAGACGAAAAAGAGTTTTTGGAGCACTTAGGAACAGTAACAGAAAAAGGATGAGACTTAGTTGAATGACAAGTAACACAAAAATGAGTTTAAGTAGTTGGCACAAGAGACGCTAGCTCTTTAGAGCAGTGCCCATTATAGTATTTGTAGAAAAGAGAAAGAGAAGCAACATTACCACGATGTGACAGAGGTTGAAGGTTGGCTGCAAGAGTAGGTCCAACTATGTTTACAATGCGTTTTTGCACCTTGTCTAAAAGAGAAAGGGCATCATTAGAAGATCCACCCCAGATATGGAAACAGTATTCCATACAAGGCTGGATTTGAGATTTATAGAGATAGAGAATAGAATCCAGAGTAAGAAAGTGACGAGCTCAATAAAGAGAAGCGACTTTAGCAGATGCTAATTTTGCAACGAATTTGATACATGGTTTCCAACAAGATCAAAAGTAAGAGTTAATCCTAGAAGATGAAGGGTAGGAGACTCATCGAGTACATTACCGTTCATATATATAGGAAGGTCTAAATTATTGCGATAACCATTGGCTGAAAAAAATTGAGTTTTATCTGAATTAAAGTTCACCAGCCACTGTGAGCCCCATGCTGTAGCAGAAGTGAGATCTTTTTCAAGCTCAGATGCCTCCTGCAAGCAATCAGAGGGAGTTGGCTTCTTATCGTGACAAGAATAAATGGTAGTATCATCAGGGAACAATGCCACCTTAGATGTGAGAAAATCTGGAAGATCGTTAATGTAAATTAAAAAGAGTATAGGGCCAAGGATTGAACCTTGAGGAACCCCTGAGGTTACAGAATAAGAAGAAGAGTGCTGTCCATCAAGGACAACTTTTATACTACGATTGGAAAAGAAGGATTCAATAATCTTAAAGATGTTTCCAGATACACCGTAAGAAGAAAGCTTATGGAGAAGACCAGCATGCCGAACTTTATCAAACGCCTTAAAAATGTCAAAAGCGATGGCCATAAAGTTGAATTAAAGTTGTATATACCATATACTTAGTATTATTTACTCCCAAATGTCTTGTTATGGAGGGGATGATAATAAATAAGTATAAATATTTTGAATATAATAGTAAAATTAAGGAAGGTTCTCATACACTTTAAAGGCTTCCAAGTGTGACTTTAGATGTACTGAATCAGCATTTTTATGCAGAATAAAAACCTTATAATTTAAAACAAATTAAAACTTTTTAAAAATAAAATGGAAAAAAAAACCTTAATTTGTATTATGTAACGAATTTCTATTAATTTTTGTGTGGGATTACCGCAAATAGAACAAAAATTGGTTTCAACATTTGACCTATAAACCTTAGTAATCTCACTTTAAAGAAGATTAAAGATACATTGCTACTATTTTAAATTCTGTGTATGTTTAATTTTTTAAAATTTTATTTAACCATAATAATAAAAATTTACAAATTTTCATCGTAAGATTACAGATATTGGTTAGGTGTCACTTATATAGTTACAAACTAGTCAATGGAGTGACACATAAAAAACATAAAGTTCTCAACAACAAAAAAGGAAGAAAAGCAAATGAAATATAAATGAGGAGAATAAAAAAAGAAAAAAAAAGTCAACCAAAACTAAATAAATTTAAAGAAAAAGAAAACAATGATAATAATTATCCTTGCTCTTTAATTAATATTATGAATACTTGAATTGAATTTATATATTAAACATATAAATTTATATTCTGGTTTCTTCTTATGATATGAAGACTTTTAAATTTTATTTAAAATAAATTAAAGGTTAAAGCTTTGATTACTTTGAGCTCTTATATTTATCATCAAAATTTATTTAAACTAAATTTTAGCTTTGGTACATCCCTAATTATTATCTTTTTTCTTTTCCTTGATTATAAAGTTAGTTTATTAGACATGTCTTTCTATAACTTGTAAATTAGACATGTCTTTCAATAACTTGTAAATTAAAGTTTTATCTCCCGGATTGCCAATTTTCCAATTTCAATTATTTAAGTCAAAATAATGAACTAGCTGAGCAGAAAGTTTATTACTGTTTAAAGAATCTAAAACAGTTGCCTATATTTTTTTTAAATTATGAAGACGCAATGATTTTCTTCAGTTGATGACTCATTCTCTTTTACAATAACATCTTTAACAATTAAGTTTAATATGTGACAAAAACAAGTTATGTACAATTTACTCATTCAATGTTCTAGATGCGATAATAACAATGTTTGATATTAGCAGGAAAGTCACGACTTGTTGAAACTGTTTTATTATTTATTTTTCATTTGTTTAGAATTAATTTAATTCTCTCCTTTAAATAAAAGTTAGTACGAGCTTTTGGGCTTTCGGCAATGCGAATTGATCTTAAACAAAAATTGAATGAAAAAAAAAATAAACACACGACGATCTCCATCCATCTGTTGTTAAATGGCAAAGTTCAGCTTTCATTAAAATTTACTTGGTACTATATTATACAAAAACTTGGCAATCTGTACTTTTTATCAAATAAACCTAGTCTTTTGATAAAGAGCTTATTATCAACAATTGAAAGTGGTTGAACTGTTTAAAAAATGCTTTCATTTAAATCTCTCTAAATTAAATAATTCTGCAAATTTAAACAATAAAAGAGTTTGCAAATGCAACTTTGATAGATAAATGACCAGTTGCTGTACAAGGAAGTTTAGACTCTTTAATATTAATACAATGGTTACTATGGAAATGATTTGCCATTGAGCTGGTATTTTCATTGTATTTTAGCTTTTGTTTCAAATTTGGTTTGTTAATGTATCTTTATAATTAAATGTGCTTATTATTTTTATAAAAATTGAGCAGCCATGGCGCATGAGCAGCTGTGACACAGTGGTAGTGCTTTTGCCTCAGAAACAAAGGATCCATGGTTCAAACCACACCTCTAGGCAAATTTTGAAACATTGGTTAGGAAGGAGGCGTGAACTTCTAATTAAATGCTCATCTGCAGTGCTCTGTAATAAGACCATAAGGAGTTCTTGGGGAACCTAAATAAAATTATATAGAAAAAAAAAAAAATTCACAAGATTTTGTTTCTGCCATAAAAAAGAATTTTAAAAAAATTTATGTTAAAAATAGTAGCTAAAGGAATAAAATAACTCTTTCTCATTTATATTATTCTTAGGCCACATTAAAATTAAAAAATACTTTATTTATTATATATTTTATTATTTTTGCACAAAGGAATTCTTGTATTTATACAAGAATTCCTTTGTGCAAAAATAATTAGTATTTTTTTTTTGGCACAAAGGAATTTTTTTGTTTTCAGAGCCTTAATACTTTATTTAAAAATAAAGTATTAGAGCGCTGAAAAATATTTTTAAAGATTTTTTGCTATTCAAAATTATACTACTATTGCAACAATTCTAAATTCTAAAATAAAATGTTGTGTTATGTATTTCAAAATAATACTATTATTGCAACAATTCTAAAACAAAATTTCAATTTTAAAAAAATTGTCAAAGAGCTATTTCTTCTGTTAAAAAACTCCCATAAATAGTTTGTTAGAGTATACTCAATTAACTAAATGACTACATTAAAACACTCCTTAGTCTGTGAGTAGGATAATCAGAATAGAAGACAAAAAAAAAGACTGGAACTAAAGTAGCTTCTAGAACAAAAAATTTTCAAAAACAACAATTTAATTAAAGACAAAGTAAAAATAATAAATATAATTAACTAATAAAAACAACCTTTAAGATACTGCTTAATATTTTCTGGAGAATCTCTATGAGGATCAACTGTTATGTAAATTGGTTGAATGAGAGGAAGACCTTGTATTGATTCTATGTAAAACGCAAATATAAAATATTAACACCCAAATTAAAAAGACTAATAACGAATAATTTTTTATAAATTAATACAATTTAAAAAAAAACTTTTAAGTAAAATAATAAAAACCTATTTTTTCAATAATAGTTGTCATTTTTTCTAGTTGATCAGGACATATATCAGGACAATGGCAAAATCCAAAATAAATAAGCAGCCATTTGCCAAAGAAATCTTTGTTAGTAACTAAATTTCCTTGTGTATCCATAAGCTCAAATGAACCACCTATACTTGCTTTGCCAATAGACATTTTTTGAAGTTTTTCTTGTTCTAAAGTTTTTAAAACAACAAATTTGATTCATGTTAATAGAAAATTAGCTTTACATTTAGCATTTTTTTTTTTTTTTTTTAAGTTTTAATAAAACAACTTCTTTACTACTGCTTACAAAACTAAAAATATACAAAAAGAGCAAAAAATAAGCAAAGAACCATGAATATTAAATGGTTGTAAGTTATGTACAAATATGCAATTGAGAAAGACAAGATGCAACTCAGAAATTGCAAAATGTAATTATGGTTTTATTGAATCCACAATTTATGCTCCTTGTAGGTTACAAGCTTAAACTTAAAGGTTTTCTTTATTAATGTTTTTAGTTACTGAACTTTTTAAATTAAAATACACTACAACCCAAAAAGCTGTTATCAAACATTAAATGACTATATATTCCTTCAAATTCTTTTACATACATTGCACTGGGAAATACAATATTTATTTTTGTTTGTCTGATCTATCTTTTTGCAATGAAAGCAACCAATCAAGTTAAAAAACAACAATTTTTATCATCAATGAAAAAGAACATGCAAATAAACAACAATTGCATAAAAATAAACGTGCCAAATATAATACAGAGTAAAATTAGGTTTGCAGCACAAATACTAATTTTATCAGAGAACATGATTTAATCAAAAAAAACATACTTAGACACTATATGCATTCTAAAATTACTTCCAATAGCTTCAAAGGATTAAACATGCGTTAAGCAACTATTTAAAATAATGTATAAAATCTATGCAATTCTTGCATCTATACACCTTATGTTTCTAAATTGCTAATCTCAAAATACATCTTTTGTTTGTAAACTTTCTCAAATATTAAAAATATATGATTAAGGTATAATAAAAATACATAAAAACTTTAAATCTATCAAAAGTCCTTTTAAATTAATTCAATCTATATAAAAGAAAACCTTTCTTTTTTTCATCTTTCAGCCATTTTACATATTGCATAATACCACCACCTGCAACAAGAAACACACCCAATGATGCCCAAGTAATTGGTCCTTGTCGAGCAGATTTTCTTAATGAAAACTGTCGACTAAGTTGCTAAAGAAAAAAAGTTTTTGGTTTCCTTTGAAGGATGATACAAGTTAATTTGAACTAAATTACTATTTTTATTTTCATATTTAACAATAAGAATGCTGTATGCAAAACACATAAAAAAATCTTTTAAAATTTATCAATGAGAATGCTGTATGCAAAATACATCAAATAATCTCATAAAATTTAACAATAAGAATGCTGTATACAAAATACATCTAAAAATCTCTTGTTTAAGTGAGAAATAAAAATCTTTTTACCATATAAAAGTAGAAAACTAATAAAAATGTAATTATTGAAACAACATCAAAAACCAAACATTTAAAATATCATTGATATTTTGATAGAAGCACAGAAAAATAATTTCTTAAAAAAAGTCAGGTCTTGGCAAAAAAACAAGGTTTTAAAAAAAAAAAAAAAAAAAACCAGGGCTTAAAAACAAAAAACCATGTCTTGAAAACAAACAAAAAAATCAGCTCTTAAAAACAAAACAAAAAAAAAACAGGTCTTAAAAACAAAAAAAATTAAAAGGTGCATCATTAAAAAATCTTAATCAACAAAAACATTTTATATAAAACACACGCCTCTCCCTCTCCATCTAATGCACGATAGATTCTTTTTTTTTTTTTTTTATAAACGTCTTCGCTTCCAACAAGGCTGCAAGCAACCACTAATTAATTTTGGATGTTACTGGAAGAGAAAAGATGAAGATTGTAGAGCAAGATAACGATTGACCGACAATTTAAAAGATTGCAAATTATATGAATCAGGAAAGCAAGATAAAGGAAGCGAATTCCAAAGAACTGATGTTCAAGGAAAAAAACTAGAGGAATAAGAGTTTTTGGAGCACTTAGGAACAGTCACAGAAAATCAATGAGAATTGAATGACAAGTAACACGAGAATGAATTTTTATAGATGGCACATGAAGCAAGCTCTTTAGAGCAGTGCCCATTAGTATTTGTAAAAAAAAAGAGAAGCAACATTACGACGATGTGATACGATTATGTGATAAGCAACATTACGGCAATGAAGGTTGGGTGCAAGAGCAGATCCAACTATGTTTACAATGCGTTTTTGCACCTTGTCTAAAAAAGAAAGGGTGTCATTAGAAGATCTGCCCCAGATATGGAAACAGTATTCCATACAAGGCCGGATTTGTGATTTATAGAGATAGAGAATAGAATCCAGAGTAAGAAAGTGTCGAGCTCGATAAAGAGATGCAACTTTAGCAGATGCTAATTTTGCAACAGATTTGTTATATGGTTTCCAAGAAAGCTCAGAAGTAAGAGTTAATCCTAGAAGATGAAGGGAAGATGACTCATCAAATACATTACCGTTCATAAATATAGGAAGGTCTAAACTATTGCGCTAACAATTAGCTGAAAAAAATTGAGTTTTATCTGAATTAAAGTTCCCCAGCCACTGTGAGCCTCATGCTGTAGCAGAAGTGAGATCCTTTTCAAGTTCAAATGGCCCCTCGAAGAAATCAGAGACTTCTTATTATGACAAGAATAAATGGTAGTATCATCAGCAAACAATGTCACCTTAAATGTGAGAATATCTGGAAGATTGTTAATGTGAATTAAAAAGAGTTTAGGGTCAAGGATTGAACCTTGAGGAACCCCTGAGGTTACAGAATAAGAAGAAGAGTGCTGTCCATCAAGGACAACTTTTATACTACGATTGGAAAGGAAGGATTCAATAATCTTAAATAGGCTTCCAGATAAACCGTAAGAAGAAAGCTTATGAAGAAGGCCAGCATGCCAAACTTTATCAGACACTTTAGAAATGTCAAGAGCGATGGCCTTAACCTCTCCACCTTTATCTAATGCACGATAAAACCTATCGATTATTATCATTAGCAAATCAGCCATAGAACAAGAAGATCAAAATCCATATTGATGATCAGAATATAAGTCATTAGATTCAAGATGAGAGATTAAGTGTTTGTTAATTAAAGATTCACAAACCTTGCTTATGATAAAAAGAAGACTAATGGGACGGTAGTTAGAAGAATCAGATCGCTTTCCAGATTTTTTACAAAGAGGGATAACAGATGTTGCTTTCCAGCATGCTGGAAAACAAGACTCTAATAAGCACTCGTTGAATAGTTTTGAAAGGATAAACGACAGCTCTGGAGAACACTTCTGCAAGACTATAACAGGTATGTTGTCCGGGTCATAAGCTGTAGAAGAGTCCAAGCAGGAAGTCACTTTAGATACAGAAGCTGGAGTGATACAAATGTCAAGGAATGGATCAAGCTGTTATCTTTTAGTTACAAGCTGGCAGTAGAAGAAGAAGATTGAAAACTTGATTGATACTAAGAGAGTAAGTTATTCAAAGTGTTCTCAAGCGTTTTTAAAAACTGAAAATACAGATGCCATTTTCCAGTAACTAAGATCTCCTTATGTGGCATCGACAATGCACATTAAAAGAACTAATAGAGACACCACCCATGAGCAACATGGCATTATTAAGACTGATATTTTACAACTGTTGATGGAATAAGCCTTTGAGAGCACAGAGTTCATAAAATCTTACCACAGAGTTCATAAAATCTTATGTTTAGCCAGCCTGAAAAACAATTCAACTAAGTTTTAAAGCTGTAACCTTACTAGAAAATAATAGTAAGAGTTGCATAGCCACTGAATGGCTATGCAACTTGGCTACCCACTGAATGGAGTCAAGAAGATTCAGCATTTATCCTAGACAGGAAACAATGCAAAATAGATTTATATTTATGATAGTCTAACAGATAAAGGGGTGCAGGGCTGATCAACAGAACTATTCAGCTTACCCCTAATGCTTTTGCCTAGGAGGTTTTCTACGAGACAGCAGATGGATGCAGTTAACATCTTTCCCAAGATGAGTATATTTATCAAAACATCATTTCTAGTCTTTACTCAACCAAGAGCCCCAAGACAGGAGTATTTTAAGTTAGAGCTTATTTCTTTTAGCATTAGAAAAGCAAATCTTACAAAGCAGCAGGATATGGGGTAGATAGTACTGGGTGACGATCCTGAACCTGATTTTACCTGGAGTAGTTTAAAGAAGTTATTTCTGTAAGCAGTACTTCAAAACAGTGAATAGGAGATATGGAGAATGCATAAGAAAAAACTTTTTATCTAAAAGAATATTTGAAAAAGGTTTCTAGTCTGGTAACAGGTTGAAAACAATATTCAATGACACTACAATTACAATATTAGGGTTGCCACTATAATTTTAAAATTTTTCCCTGAGTTTTCCCTGAGTATTCCCTGAGTAAAGTACATTTTTCCTTGATTTTTGTTTTTTAAATTCCCTGAGTTTTCCAGATTCTAAATATATATTTACTGTATAGTATCGGACAAAACGAGTGCAACCAAATAATGCTAATTTAGTTTCTTTATATAAAAGTGCTGCATTTTTTCAATTTAGAGAAATAACTATGTAACTGTTTAGAGACAATGTTCTTCAAGTTTTATTCATCACAAAGTTCATTATTTGTACACGAAAATTAATAAATTAATTAAAAGTATTAAAAAAAGTTTATTTCCTACTGGACAAAACAAGTGCAACTCCACAAAATGTTGACCAAGCTGTATTTCGATATCAATATTTTGTGGGGAATCCTTTGTTGTTGATCACAGCCTTGCATCTTCAAGACATAGATTCGATCAGGTGATCAATGAAACTTTGTGGAATCGCTGCCCAGGCCTTTTAGATTTGTTCAAACAGTTGATCCTTATTACAAACACCTTCATGATTAATTCAGCGGTTGACGATCTCCCACAGGTTCTCGATAGGGTTGAAATCCGGAGATTGAGGCGGCCAATCCATCACCGATAGGTGGTTGTCTTGAAACCACTACTTGACTACTTTTGCAGTTTGTTTCAGATCGTTGTCTTGCTGACAAACTCATTTTGTTGGCATATTCCATTCAGCATGAGGTAACATAACGTCTTTCAGGATATTTTTATACATGAAACGGTCTATTAATCCATCGATTCGATGTATTGGATCTAGACCGTTAGCAGAAAAACACCCAGAGACCATTACATTGCCTCCACCATGCTTCAAAGTCTTATGGCAGTAACGTGCACGGCAAATGCCATCGCTCCCAATGATGATGAACTTCGATTCATCACTGAACAGGACAGATCGCCATTTCTGCACATTCCAGTCAATATGAGATGAGAAACAGGAGTTTTTTCTTCTGGTTCTTTAGTGAAATCAGTGGTTTCTTTGCAGGGCGTCGAGAAAACAATCCAGCTACAACAGCACGTTGTCTGATTGTTCGGTTCGATACAGGCAGCTCTAATTGCTTTTGTATCTCGACTGATGATATCTAGGAATCCTTCTTGATGGATGACGATCATATAATCCTCTCTATAAGAGGTGGAAGGCGGTCTTCCACCATTGTTATCTGCTGCCAACTTCCCTGTAGAATGATATTTGGAACATAGTCTTGATACGGTCCATTTTATCACGCGATATTTATCACAAATACTTTTTTGTGACATTCCACTTACGTAATCGCCAATAAGTTCCAATCTAAGACTGTCGGGAGCCATTTTTGCACTTGAAATCATAAAAATAATAAAAATAAATAATCACGCTTCTCAAGGCTTACCGTGTTACATTTATCTTGTGATGATAAAATAATGCTCTGTGGAACACAACGTTTGGATACTTCCTTTAATCATTAAAAAACTTCTGTGAGGTTGACACAGACCAGACTTAAGAAAATGTAACAAACCAAAAAAGTTGCACTTGTTTTGTCCGCTACAAAATGGCACTTGCCAACGAAATTCTGCCTATGTGCTGTCACCTGTCAGCTGATTGCTCATGTCATGGCATGCTATGACTCCAGACTCCTGAACTATTTGCTGTGGTAGAATAGTTTGTTTCATTTTTATAACATGTATAATTAGGAACACTTTTTAGCATTGTTCGATGTTGGTTGCAAATGTTTTGTCCAATACTGTATGTGTATATATATATATATATATATATATATATATATATATATATATATATATATATATATATATATATATATATATTGAATCTGGAAAATTATATATATATATATATATATATATATATATATATATATATATATATATATATATATATATATATATATATATATATATATATATATATATATATATATATATATATATATATATATTAGGGTGGGTCACTTTTGAAAAATTTTTGAATTTAGGTTCGGCTGGGCATTTTTCTTATGTCTTTGACCGTATGATATTGAGAAACTTTTTATTTGCATTTAATGTTTATTCAGGTAATTTTTAGGTAATTTTTAGACTGAAAATTTAAGTTTTATCATAAATATATCGTTTATGCGAAGTTATGAAAAATGGTTTGCTACTACTCAATAAAATAAAGTCTAAAAAGACTAAATATATCGACTAAATATAAATATATCGTTTATGCGAAGTTATGAAAAATGGTTTGCTACTACTCAATAAAATAAAGTCTAAAAAGATTCCTGAGCTTTAGTTAACCTAGTTACATCAACAATATATTAAAGTTACATCAAAAATTAAAATTTTATGGTATATTAAGTCTATACACGTAATAAGACATTAAAATATTGATAACAGCATTTTCCGCATATTTTTCTAAAATAAATTGTTTACTCATAATAAAAAGTTAAAATACTGATTACAAAATTTTCATCAGATCTTTTTTTGATTGGCACACAGGCATCAGCTCTCTATGAGCCATTGTAGCCCTTATGAACCCATCTCTTCTTTTGGCACCAAACACCATATGCCCTGGTGACCTCTTTCACAATGCGTTCAATAGATTGACCGTGAATAGGGAAGTTTATGACAACCATTGGATTATTAATAAACTGTATAATATCATCTCTAATCAAACAACAAGTAAGAACCGGTTCACTGATCTACTCTGTTTCCCAATTGATTAAATCTATTAAATTATTTGATTCAGTGTTTATCACTGGTATTCTTCTAATCCTGCATTTTCTGTCTCCAACATCGTTATTTTTTCTAAAATCAATTATTTTTTGCACTGCAAATCTCCTTTCTTCTTCATCTGAACTACAGAGCATTGTCTGAAGAATACATTCACTGTGTGCTTTCCAGGCAGAGGAGCAGACATGCGGTAATACAATATCCTTCACAAACTTGTTCTGTTTTTTTACCAAGGCTAGTTGCTTAAGGATATGATGTGGACCTTGAATCCAGCTATGTTTAGTCTAAAGTCAATTACTTTTCTTTAGCATAATCACAATTGTTTTACAATTATTAAAGTAAATTATAGTATTTAAGTAAAATATTGTATTATATCTTTATTTACATAACTAAGTTTCTTACCTTAAGATCAAACCACATAATGGAATAAACACCCATGATGAACTCTGTTAACAATTTCAAGTTTTGGAGATCTTTGTTTTTTAAACAATGCTCTGAGCACCAGATTCGGACTAGTCTATTTGCGAGATTTAACAACCTTGAATGATTGTGTGGACCAATTTGAATCTCCTTCAAGTCATCAGGAAAAACACCTGATGCTATTGCATTATGTATTCTGTATAAATACTTCTGATCTGTAGACAGTGAATCTACAACTTCTTTCTCGAGATGAATTAGGTCTACAAAAAAATCAAGCTGAGGGATGCATGTCAAAATAGGAAGATTTGTTGCTATGTTAATAAGTTTTCCGATGTTTCCTGAGAATCTATTTTCAGATAAAGTTTTTCCATCTAAAGCTAACATTAAATGCCTAAGTGGCAATTCGTTGGTATGTAGCGCACAAATAATCCAGATAAGTTTGAATCCTAGTTTTTTCTCTAAAAATTGAAAAATTCCACCCTTCCAACCTAAAATAAACTTTTATTTTCAGTAAAAAAAAAAAGAAGTACATAAAATTTTTAACAACCATTTAAAGAAATAAAAATAAAACCTGTGTTAAGGTTGGTTGAATCTCCTCCGATAGCAATTAATTGGCTTTCAATGCCATGTGCTATTATCCAATCATATAATTGTTCAGCAATATGTTCAGCAAGTGTTCGAGCTTCTCTCTCCTCTGAATTATTTACAAAGTGGAATAAATATTTTCCACCAGGTTCAGAACAGACACTATAATGATCTTCTTTGATCTCCCTAGGATAAGATTTACCATCATTGCCATATACAACTGTTTTAGTAAGGTCTTTTCTACCATCAAACATAATACATTGTATGCCCTCTTTCTTAACTTCATTATCATGTCTCTCTTTACAGACATTCATTACTCTTTGCTTTGATCTCTCAATTTTTTTATGATCTAGAGCTAGGTGTTGATCAAATATATGATCTTTCAAAAAACCTGCATCTTTGGCTGCTTTTAATGTTGCAGTGCCTATTGATGCAGTTGCTCTGTTACTTGTACCAAATCGTAATGCTGACAAAGCGATATGATTTACATTTAAAGTATTTAGCTGAGAAACTTTTTTTATTTCTGGTAAATAAAGATTGTCATAATAATCATTCTCAGCATTGTCTGACTCCACATCATTTTGAGATAATACTTCAGAATACTGTACAGTCTCAATCCTATCTCTCTTTGATTTATTCTGCTTTCTTTGATGGTATTTTTTTTGTCTGGATACTTTTTTTTTATCAACTGAACCTATTTGCATTCCACTTTTAGAACCAACTCTATCCCTCTGTGACTTTAAAAATTTAAGTTCAATAATAGGAATTTTATTTTCCTGAGAACATTTGCAAACAATATGAAAAACTTGGTTGCAGCCATAACAATCGGATTTTTTGCATGATTTTATTGAACATTTACACTTAGCTATGTCAAACAGTTTATCTAAGATTTATTTATGCTCAGAAAGTTGCTTAGATGTTCCCCTACCTAACGCCAGATTATATGCTTTTTTCCAGTCATATATGATTCTTTCTTTTCCTCTTTTATCAGAGATAATGGGTATAAGTGGATTAGCTTTTTGCCATAAATATTTTACTGAGGCCCACAATTTTTCAGAAGTTAGCCTTAAATTTTGGTTATTTTCTTCAATCCTTCTAAGAAAGAGACCATATCTTAAAACATCTCTTAAAGTTGGTAGTTCTGACTCTAATAATGTTTTTCCTGTACCAATTAGCTTTGTTAATTTACATTTAACTTTATCACGAGTGTTTTGTGCCATTCTTTATAACTGTAAACTTATTTCTATACAATAAATACATGCGTTATTATTTCTTCCTTTTAATAACTAATAAAACTGCTACTAGTGGTCCGACTTTAGCGTACATAAACAAAATTTACCCATTTCAATGGTAAAATAGTTGCAATATTTTAGGATCATATTTTGACATTTTTATTGATAAAATAGGTGTAGTTTAAGACATTTATTGATTTAAAATGGTTTGAAGATGACAAAAGTAAAAAAATTGACAAAACTCTGGGGAAATTATATATTTATGATAAAACTAAAATTTTCAAACTGAAAATTACCTGACTAAATATTAAATGCACATAAAAAGAGAATTGGTTCTCATTACCATACGGTCAAAGACATAAGAAAAATGTCCAGCCGAACCTAAATTCAAAAATATTTCAAAAGTGACCCACCCTAATATATATATATATATATATATATATATATATATATATATATATATATATATATATATATATATATATATATATATATATATATATATATATATATATATTGAATCTAGAAAATAATATATATATATATATATATATATATATATATATATATATATATATATATATATATATATATATATATATATATATATATATATATATATATATATATATATACATATACATACATAAAGCGAGCTTGACGTCACAGTTATTTTTGTGTTTATCAAAAAAAAAAGTATTTTTGCCAAAAAAGTTTAAAAATGCACCCACTTTTTTCCTATAAGCGCTTTCATCTTCAAATAAAAAAAATATAAAAGACCTATCTTTTTTTTTTTAAATAAACATTTTCATTAAGCGGAATAAAAATACTTATTGTTTAAATATTGGTAACGATTTGGGATCACTTTTCTATTTTTTGTGGTTTTTACGGAAAAAATGTCTTGGGTTAACTAAGATTTCATAACATAGCTACATGCCTCATGGTTGACATTTGGAACATTTATAAAGTATCTATTTTATCTAATATTTGCTGCGGATTGCTTATTTTTTATTTTTGAACTATTTAACGCATTTATATTTTTAATTTTTTTATTAAATAATGAAAATTGTATTATTTTTGTAATCCACACCAAATTATTGAAGTTTCAACCCTTTCGTTTCCAAATTATTGAAGTTTCAACCCAAAAATCAAAAAATTGCTATGTTATGAAATATGTTTTCAAACTTCTCTAGCTATGTTATGAAATATGTTTTCAAACTTGGCTAGTTTAGAAACAAATTTTTCTAGTTTAATGCGCAAAACATTGTTTACATTTTAAAATTCAGTACGTCCCAAGCAAATATTTAACGTATTTTATGTAAACAACTTTCTTAGCGAGACAAATTTTGAAGTATAAAATCAACAAAGTTAGGCGGTTTTTTCTTTAGAATGGTCCATAAATCTATTATCAACTAGGTGTATAAAGATCGTTTTGTACTTAAGAAACTTAGTGGATCAGCTCATTATAAAACAGTTTTTTATGAGAATAAAAACACATTATCAAACAATTTAAATTAGCTATTTGTATATTTAAATAAACGTTTTCTTTTTTGTGAGTGAAGTGAAGTGTGATTCAAGTACCATGATTTGTTCTATATCCATAAGCGAGGTTAATTCAAAAACTTTAAACCAGTTTTTGTCATGAATTATTATACTAGACTTTGCAAGTCCTTATTTATTAACAACCCAAGATCCATATTATTAAAACTGTATGCATAGAAAGAAATAAATGGCTTAAGGCTTTAGCTAAAAATGTTAAGACTAAAAATCGAAATCTGGCTTTATTTTGTAATGCACTAAATTTATCAACTTAGTGAATTATTTTCTAAAACAAGAGTTTCTAAAAACGTACTCATTTAATATTTAATCGCCCCTTTTAACAATTTTTTTCATAAGTTTGCAAAAAATGCTGTTTGCTTGCAGACTTCAATAAAGACTGTTTAGTTAACCTTTAACAATTAAGTAAGGTTTTCTTATTCTAATAATAGTCAAACAATGAGTGTATTTGATAATAACTATCAGAAATATATTTTTCTGATTTTTTTTGTTGATAAAAAGTAACAAATTACTAAAATTTAGCCAAGCTCATCATTTTTTGTGTTTTTTATAAACTAAAAAAAGTTTTTTTACTATTGTATTAAATGTCGTATGATAAAATATTTTATTGTTGCTTTTATTCCTTTTACAAGACAAAATTATCTCTAATATTTCAAAAGTTATAAACATTTTAGAATCTATATATTGAATCTGGAAAACTCAGGATTAACTCAGGGAATTTAAAAAACTAAAATCAGGGAAAAATGTACTTTACTCTAAAAAAACAAAAGTCAGGGGAAAATTTACTTTACTCTGAAAACAAAAATCAGGGAAAAATGTACTTTCCTTATGTTTGGCTATATCTAGTTGATGAAAATAGAAGATATCTTAACAAGTGGTTTTTTTTATCGAAGCTGAGAAATTTTTTCTATATTTATTTTCATGTCATTTCTTAAAAATATTGAATACTGAAGCATGTCATTATCACTTTGTATTGCAGATATAATTTTTAAACTGACGAGATAATGTAACATTCTTTTTAGTTTATTTTGATTAGATTCAATTGTTAATGTTTTGAGATTGATTCGTTTGAAACAACTTGCATTTGCTATGATTGCAGAGTCTAGCAAGATGCGTTTAATTTTCTATGGTTTTTGTGAGAAATAAAACAACATTCATTTCTAAACTGATTTATTTCATTAAGAGTTACATTATCTTTAACAAAGAGTTCTTTAATTGAAACTTCAGCCGCAAAACCAATAATAACATCTTTCCTTGGTAACAAATTCTCTTTTTTATAGAGATCTATCTTAATAAATCACTACCTTTTTTGCAGCTTTGAATTACTGAAGGTTTAATAAATAGAGCTAAAATATTTGTTATCAATTCTCTAAGATCATTGTACATGTATGGAATCATTGGTTGATCAATCTTATAGAGTGTCAAGTAGGTTTTAAGCAAGCTGGTAACATAACTAAAAAATTGTAAATTTGAAACTGTCAGGAAGTCATTTGATGCTTTTTGAAAATTAAAAAAACTTTCTAAGGAAGGCTGTTTAGACTTTAATAATTTTTCCCAAAATCTAATTAATTTAACAATGTTGTCCCATATTTCAATTAGGCGATCAGCAACAATTTGGTCTTCAATACATCCTGTTGAACAGAAACTTAATGGATACCGATTTGAGCCGGTAACACTGTTATAGTCATCCCTCCTAGCTGGAGTATCATGCAATATTTGGTATGCTCTCTTAAGAATACTTTTTAGATTCCATGATGTAGACTTAGAACCTAATTTAAAAGCTCCATGTACTACATGCAAACTACAACACCCAATGTCAATTAAAGAATTTAATTCACACTTTTTTTGGTATATAAAAAGTTTTTTAAAAATTTCCAATTTGTATTAGATACTTGAATCATTTTTTGAAAAATCAAGACTTTCTATTTTTTTGTTGAAATTTTTTAGAAAATGTGCTGCAAAAGAATGGCCAAGAAAAAATGAATTCGAATATTGCACATTAACCTGTTTTTTTAAAGTATTCCAAAATCTAACAATAATATCCATTTGACAATTTTGTGTAACTTTGTTCAGACTTTCATCAAATGAGACAACATAACATGGCGAATTTTTGATACTTTCAAGAAGTAATGATTTAAAATTTGGTGCTAATCCACTATGGTTACTATGGTATGGTAACTATGGTTAATCATATATCCTATTTTTGTTCTTGCTAATGTTAATCCTTTTGCCACTTTGCTATCTGGAAAAATACTAGTAAATAATTTGCTCAAATTAGCAGATGCATTGTTTGACAATCCATTCATAACATTTGCAAGAACCCATCTTATTTCAGATCTTGTTTCTTCATTGGAAGTAACAACAAGTTCTAAAGTTTTTGACCAATTGCCAGGGGTAGTGTTGGTGTAAAAGTAGAATGCTTTACAACAGGTTTGAAAAAGTGACTTTTGGATTTAGCTAAAACATGAACTTGGTGCTTTTTACCTTCATTATGACTCTTAACTATCTGAACTCCTATGCTTGACAAATTAGAAGTTTTACAACAATCTAGCAACTTTATTGTTCCCAGTCTTAACAAGCCACTCTTTATACTCTGGGTGATGAAGCCAATTATTTGAAAAAATTGTTTGATTCATTTTAATTATTAATAACTCTAAAAAAATATATTCTTTCTACAACCATATTAAATATATTTATAGATTTAATGATGAAACATAAATTTATATATAAAACATTTATATATAAAACTTATTAAATCAAACTTTACTCAGTATTTTAGTATTTCCTAATTAATGAAAATTCTACTTAAAATAATTAAATAACTTAACTATAAAACATAAATTCAAATTTAATATTGAAAATAAGCAAACCATACAAATTAACATCAAATGTAAAATCTTATAAAAAATTATGATAATATAG